TTCAAAGGGCGTCACAGGTGTGGAGGGGATGGCACAGCCCGGTGGTGCAGAAATGGCTCTGGCGAGGCAGCGGGCAAAGGCTTTACCAGCGGCAGTAGGAGCGGAGGAGGCAAAGGCAAAGGCTTCTTAGGGAAGGCAGGGAGGCTAGTCCGTGCTCCTGCTGCTTCTCCTGTGAAATGTAATATAAATGGGTTCCTGAATAAGTACATATAACAAAAATACCACTTATACATAGAGTAAACAATAGAATTCAACAAGCAGTTATATAGACATGTTGTATCAATCTCACAGTGATGTCAAACAATATTGTGTAAATTTTGGCACAGTCTTTTTAGAATAATATCAATGTTGTATCTTCTTATGTTGAGTAGTTTATAGATCAGCCGTCCACTACATACAACAAAAATGCCACTTATACATAGAGTAAACAATAATGGAATTCAACAAGCAGTTATATAGACATGTTGCACTGTTCAATTTCACAGTGATGTCAAACACTATTATGTAAATTCTGGTATAGTCTCTTTAGAATAATATCAATGTCGTATCTTCTTATGTTGAGTAGCTTATAGATCAGCCGTCCCCTTATACATGGCTATCATATCCCCTCTCAGCCTTCTCTTCTTCAGGCTAAACATGCCCAGCTCCTTAAGCCGCTCCTCATAGGGCTTGTTCTCCAGACCCTTTATCATTTTAGTCGCTCTCCTCTGGACACATTCCAGCTTGTCAATATCTCTCTTGAATTCAATGGTATATGATACTCTGCTCTATGTTGAGTTCTGGCTGCGAGTATTATTTACTCAATTTACACAATATTGTTTGACATCACTGTGAAATTGAACAGTACAACATGTCTGTATAACTGCTTGTTGAATTCTATTATTGTTTACTCTATGTGTAAGTGGTATTTTTGTTATATGTGCTTCTCCTGTGAACACATGCCTGCCCACACCTTATCGTCTTACACAAATGTAATGTGCACCCCATTTAGCCAAAAAAGGTGCGCCTTTGATTCGCGTAAATACAGTAATCTCTTTCCTGGTAATTATATTTTCTCAAGCAATTGGAAGTGACTAGTTAGGAAGCAAAATAGAGTAAATTCCAGACTATAACAAAATCAATAATATATAACATTGGTGATTTTAAAATAACAACAAGACTGGTGTTTTTCAGTTTAATGTGGATGAAAAGTGTGTGCTCCAGGAGCAGAGAAACTTCTAGTAAATGCTAGCCAGAGATATAATTTGCACAAGGGAAATAATAGTGCAAGTATCGTTTCTTTTGGCTTGGCCTCAACAGAAGCAGTGTGTTCAATTCTGAGATCCCAGTTGAAAAACAACATACACAAACTGGAAATTTGCAACCAAGGTAGTAAAAAAGCTGGAAATGAAGCCCAGAGGAACAAGTGTTGGAAGTACATATGGTTTCTTTTTAAAATAAGTGACATGACAGTTGTATTTACCCTCTGAAGGATTGTCACAGGGAGCTTGTTTTCTGCTGCTCCAGACAACAGGACCTCCAACTTAGGGATTCAAAAGACAAGAAAGGGGAATCTATCAAATCTTATGATATGGGTGTCCAGAGTAGCCAAAGAGATCTCCAAAACAGTCCCAAGTCAAAAAAAGCAAGAAAACTGAGTTTGAAACTAAGAAGAGAATTGTCTAAGATATGAGTCCAAAGTCAAGCCAGGTGGTACTGGAAGCCAAGGGAATAACACGCATTCATCATGAAATGCTGAATGTATAGTCTATACCACAATGATCAGAACGTGCAATTTCTCTGTTACAACTCATTATATTAGTTTTCTCCCAGCGCTTTGGATGATGTATCTCCTGCTGTACGTAGTCTGTGATAGTTCAAAAGGTATGAACCCCCTCCCCCCCCCCCCAATTTCCCAAACGCCTAGCATATCTATATTTTTTAGACTATGTGTGTTGTCTGGTGCTTGTTAAGGGATAAAGTCACCAAGTAAAACATTTCCCATACTTCTGGCACTTTTACAATTTATTTCCTGTGTGTAGTTTTTTGTGGTACTCCAAGCATGAACTGCAAACAAAACATTTCAACACTCCTGGCATATCTATGGCTTCTGTGCTGTGTGAAGTCCTTTGTGCCTCACCAAGTCTGAACTGCAAGCAAAACATTCTCCACACTCCTGGCATTGATATGGCTTCCCTCCTGTGTGGAGTCTTTTGTGCTTCGCCAAGGCTGAACTTTGAACAAAACATTTCCCACACTCTAGACATTGGAATGGCTTCTCTCCTGTATGGAGTCTTTTGTGACTCACCAATGCTGAATTGTCAGCAAAACATTTCCCACACTCCTGGCATTGGTATGGCTTCTCTCCTGTGTGGAGTCTTTTGTGCCTCACCAGGGCTGAAGGGTCAGAAAAACATTTCCCACACTCTTGGCATTGGTATGGCTTCTCTCCTGTGTGGAATCTTTTGTGCCTCACCAGGGCTGAACTGTCAGCAAAACATTTCCCACACTCCTGGCATTGGTATGGCTTCTCTCCTGTGTGGAGTCTTTTATGCTTCACCAAGTCTGCACTGCGAGCAAAACATTTCCCACACTCCTGGCATTGGTATGGCTTCTCACCTGTATGGAGTTTTGTGTGTGTCATCAAGTGTGAACTGTATGCAAAACATTTCCCACACTCCTGGCATTGGTATGGCTTCTCTCCTGTGTGGACTCTTTTGTGGCTTATTAATTGTGAACTGTAAGCAAAACATTTCCCACACTCCTGACATTGGTATGGCTTCTCTCCTGTGTGGACTCTCTTGTAGCTTATTAATTGTGAACTGTCAACAAAAAATTTCCCATACTCCTGGCCTTGGTATTGTTCCTGTCCTGTGGGAAATCCCTCATGTTTCACCAAGCTTATGAAATCCTCAGTTCCCTCAAAGATTTCTTGTTGGCACAAATCTGGCAATGTGTAATCAAGCACACATTTTGCTGATACTTTCCATTGAAAATAGCTGTTCCCGGCATGGAGTGTCTTGTGAAGCACAAGTGCCACATTTTGCGTAAAACATTCCCCACATTCATTGCATTTGTAGGGCCTTTCTCTGGCAGAATTTTCATCTTCACTCTGGGCTTCCTGGTGTCTACAAAGGCCCCCGTTGTGCCCCAAATGCTTCCTGCATTTGGTGCGTACATTGCTCTTCTCCCAGTTGTCTACTGTGAAGAAGAAGAAAAGAAACAATCATTCCTAAGCATGATTGATAAGGACTCTAAGTGAGATAAGAAGTGGATTGAAAACATCCTTAAAACAACAGAGACATGGAGGAAAAGAAGATATGTGTTGTTGCTCCACCCCTTGTTCAATAAAGATGAACACCGTTTGACTGCCTAGAACCTCTAAGGCAGAGATTAGTAACATATGCTCCAGAGCAGGCATGGGCAAATCTTTTTGTCTTCAGCCCGTATTGTGGGCCCGGCCAGGAGGGAGGGCAGCTGGGCACATGCTGAGTGGGACAGGCGTGGGAGGGGAAGGCCTGGGAAAGGGCGGGGCCAGGAGCTGTGAGGCAAGGCCTGGGTCTTCTTCAGGTTGTCCTCCTGGCATAAGGATGGGGCTGCCCACCCCATCCTTATGCCAGGAAGAAAATATGTGGCTATTGCCTCAATACTCCTCCTCTTTTTAAAATGTTTTTATTGTTTTATCGTGTATACAGGAAACAAAACAAATGAACCAAAGAAAAAAAAATGAAAAAATATATGCAAAAAATGGCAAAAGAGTGTACATTCAGTGCTCATTAAACATATGAACAATCAGACTTGGCTGTACAATTATACCTTAACATTTCTTAACCTTCTATCCCCTCACCTGTGAACTCATGAACTCCCCATGAACTCCGAAGCCCCTCAAAGAAGGATTATACAAGTAACCAGCAACTACCCATATATCTTCTTTCACTGAATCCCTTTTATGGCAATCTTCAAGTTTAACTTGTCTTCTTTTCCAGATACCCAAGTGCCAGCCTCCACTTGTTTGCAAATTCTTCATTATTTCCTCCACTGCTGCTATTTATCAGCTTGGCCATTGCTTGCTTGCTGGAACACCTCAGCAAGCAAGAGTCCAAAAGTGGCAGGCTCAAACCCAGAACCTCCTCCAATGGCCGATACCAAACGAGAGACTCCCCCCTGGGCATACAGAGGACTGGGCGACTTGGAAGACGCTGAACAGACTGTGCTCTGGCATCACGAGATGCAGAGCCAACCTTCAGAAATGGGGCTACAAAGTGGAATCCTTGACATGCGAGTGTGGAGAAGAGCAAACCACTGACCACCTGCTGCAATGCAACCTGAGCCCTGCCATATGCACAATGGAGGACCTTCTTGCAGCAACACCGGAGGCACTCCAAGTGGCCAGATACTGGTCAAAGGACATTTAATCAACTACCAAACTCACAAATTTTGTATTCTATCTGTTTGTTTGCTTTGTTCTGTTAGAAATGTAATATAATTGACTGGTTGCCCTGACACGACAAATAAATAAAGCTTGGCCATTTGAATATAATCTACTAATTTATCTCTCCAATCTTTTATAGATAACTCCATCCTTACACAGGGAGGGGGGGGGGCAAGACACACGGTGGCCGGGAGCACACCAGAGGGCACTCCTTTCTGCATACAGATGTGTGGGCCACAGCATTCTTATGCCAAGAGGACAGGGAAAATGAGGAGGGCCTGTGGTAAGTGCCCCAGGGGCTGGATGCGGCCCACGTGTGCTCCAGAGGCTATAAGTTGCTCAGTTCAGCCTGGTTTTGTATTCTGTCTCCTTCTCTCTGGGGGAATGGATGCCTTTCCCCCTCACATTCAAATGCTTGCCTTTTCCTCTTGCTACCATCCATTTCACAATAGTTCCCTCCTTTTTATTTCTCTCCCCAAACCTCCAGATCTCTCTTCCCATGCTCCAATGTAGAGGATCCCATACTAAATTTCGGAGTATTGCAGATATTGTTACGCTTTTACCATCAACTACTGAATGGGACTCTTACAGTTTTTGAAAGCTGGCTGTAAATATGAGTTCCAAAGGGATAGATTTGCCTGACAAAGCTGGGAATATGCAAGATAGTGACTGGAAAGAATAAGCGGAGAACAAAGATGACGGCAGACAAAGGAACAAAAAAAAATGTCTGTAGGACTCAGCCAGATATAGCGGTATCCATGTAGCACCACACTTGAGAGAGAGGAGATTGCTTCCAAACCATCCTGGTTTGTGAGGAATGACAAAACTGCGCGCCAGAGGTAAGAGCTGCTGATAAATCCAGATGCTGTATAACAGAGACTTCTTGGACTATCCCTTTGTCCCTGTGGACTAACCCCTTCCTCCATCACAGACACGACTTGTGGAACAAGGGAGAGAGCCTTCTCTGCTGTGGCCCCCCAGCCATGGAACTCATTAACTGGTGAGATTAGGCAAGCCCCTGCCCTAGCAGCCTTCAAGAAGGACCTAAAACGGCTCTTCCGATATGCCTTTGGAGAGTGACCATATACACAATGTTTTTTCAAAACACTGTATGAATCAGAATTTTTAATTTTTTTTATAACATAGGTGCATACCTAAAGTTTTGTTTTACGTAGTTTTGAAGATCAAATTAGGCAGGTGGCGTCCCCTATTCTCCATACACGCAGTAAACCGATTTCTGCCCTTTGTCATGACTCTTGCCAGCATAGCAGGAGCCCTGTAGCTGTGAAATAATCTGGTATGCTTGGACTTGACTCCAGTTATGGACATCTTCCCACTGGAGTCCGAACTGGTGGTAAAATTGCTGTTGTTCAGGCACCAAGTCAGTTAAAAACTTGTGTGCCAGGTGCGACCATACCTTGAGAAGCCAGACTTGGCCATGGTGGTCTATGCCTTGGTTGCATGCCATCTAGACTACTGTAACAGGCTCTATGTGGGGATGCCCCTGAAGAGTACCCAGAAACTGCAATTAGTCCAAAGCCTGGCTGCAGCCAGGCTGCTCACAGGTGCTGGACCTGGGAGCGCACAACTCCACTGCTACAGCACCTTCACTGGCTGCCAATTTGTTTCCGAGTCCAATTCAAGGTGCTAGTTTTGACCAATAAAGCCCTAAACGGTTGAGGTCCAACTTACTTATTTAACCGCATCGCCTCATACCAACCTGCCCGATCCTTAAAATTGTCAGGCTCTCTCCCTCTCTTCTTTCATGAATCAGCTAAAAACTTTTTTTTTAATTACAACAGCAAAACAACAGAGTAGAAACAATCAGGCACATCTAATCACCTCTCAACAAAAGATTGCCCCAGGCACTGCCAGGCCATCAAATGCTAATCAAGGTGGTCAATTGAAACATTCACAGCTAGCTCCAACAGACAAGAGTTCTTTGCCACACCCTGGTCATTCCACAGATATATAAACCCATTTTCCTAGTTCCAACAGACCTCACTACCTCTTAGGATGCTTGCCATAGATGCAGGCGAAAAGTCAAGAGAGAATGCCTCTAGAACATGGCCATATAGCCCGAAAAAGCCTACAACAACCCAGTGATTCTGGCCATGAAAGCCTTCGACAATACATACAAACTTTTTTGTTTGGGCAGGCCTTTATTTATTTATTTACAGTATTTATATACCATCTTTCTCACCCCTGGGGGAACTCAAAGCAGGCCTTCAGCAAAGACATATAGACAAGTGCCAGAAAGTGCCATAATTTTATCAACTGGAGCAAAGTGTAATGTAACTCGACAAGATGCCACATGAATGTATCTAGCTTTTTAATAGTTTAGGATTTTTATGTTTATTGATTGTTTCATTTGATTTATATATGCGTTCAGATTGACGTTTGTATAATATTAATATGCTGTAAGCTGCTTTGGGTCCCTTGAGGAGAAAAGTGGGATATAAATTATTATTATTATTATTATTACTCTTATGTTATATATTTCTAACATAAGTTCTACCTTGAGGACCCTCAGCGACTTTAGGATAATACTGCATTTTGAAATAGAAATCCCCACCAATGAGGGAGCCTTACCAAGAGAGTCCACCATCCCATGAATCTCCTCCATGATCTGCCCGTGCAAGGCTTTCTGACCAGGATTCAGGAGAGCCCACTCCTCCACGGAGAAATGGACAGCCACGTCCTCAAAGGCGATTGGGCCCTGGTGGAAAAAGGAAACATTTCCTTCTCACATAAGGGCTATCAAGGAAAATAATTACAAGAAAACCTTTAAAGTAGATTCACATTCCTGCTGGCTCCCTGTCGGCAGTGGCCACTCCCAGCTCCTTCAAAATCAAACCAGTCCCTTCAAGGATACCATTCATCCACCTTGCCCTTGGTCGGCCCTTCTTCCTTTTTTCCTTCCATTTTCCTTCCATTTTCCTCAGCATCATTGTCTTCTCTAAACTTTCCTGTCTTCTCATTATGTGGCCAAAGTACTTCATCTTTGCCTCTAATATCCTTCTCGCAACTAAAATTAGCTGCTTCATAGTAGTATCTGAAATCTGGCAAAGCCAGTCCCCCTCTGTCTTTCCCATCAATCAGGTCCCTGTAAGCCAGTGGTTCTCAACCTGTGGGTCCCCAGATATTTTGGCCTTCAACTCCCAGAAATCCTAACTGCTGGTAAACCGAGTGGGATTGCTGGGAGTTGTTGGCAAAACACCTGGGGACCCACGAGTTACGCACCACTGCTGTAAGCCAGTCTGGATTGTTTGCCTTTCCAAATGAATTTGACCCCTTCTCCATTTCCCCAACACCTTTACTCCCTTAATAATCAGTAAATTTTGAAACAGAAACAACATTTTGGGCAATATCATCGTTTTTATAACTGCTATCCTCCCTAAACAGGTAAGTTGAAGTCTTTGCCAATTTTCAAGATCTTGAAAAAAAAAAAAAGATATCTCTTAGTTTTTCCTTCTTGTTGGCACTGTTTGCAATTATGATTTCAGTATTTCACTTTTAAGAAACTCCCATTCAATCTTATCTGTTCCAAGAGATAAGCCCTTAGATGAAGGGCTAGAAGGCATGATCATCAAGTTTGCAGACGACACCAAATTGGGAGGGATAGCCAACAGTCCAGAGGACAGGAGCAGAATTCAAAACGATCTTGACAGATTAGAGAGATGGGCCAAAACTAACAAAATGAAGTTCAACAGTGACAAATGCAAGATACTCCACTTTGGCAGAAAAAATGAAATGCAAAGATACAGAATGGGAGACGCCTGGCTCGAGAGCAGTACGTGTGAAAAAGATCTTGGAGTCCTCGTGGGCAACAAGTTAAACATGAGCCAACAATGTGATGTGGCGGCAAAAAAAGCCAATGGGATTTTGGCCTGCATCAATAGGAGCATAGTGTCTAGATCTAAGGAAGTCATGCTACCCCTCTATTCCGTTTTGGTTAGACCACACCTGGAATATTGTGTCCAATTCTGGGCACCACAATTGAAGAGAGATATTGACAAGCTGGAATGTGTCCAGAGGAGGGTGACTAAAATGATCAAGGGTCTGGAGAACAAGCCCTATGATGAGCGGCTTAAGGAGCTGGGCATGTTTAGCCTGAAGAAGAGAAGGCTGAGAGGAGATATGATAGCATGTATAAATATGTGAGAGGAAGCCACAGGGAGGAGGGAGCAAGCTTGTTTTCTGCTTCCCTGGAGACTAGGATGCAATGGAACAATGGCTTCAAACTACAAGAGAGGAGATTCCATCTGAACATGAGGAAGAACTTCCTGACTGTGAGAGCCATTCAGCAGTGGAACTCTCTGCCCCGGAGTGTGGTGGAGGCTCCTTCTTTGGAAGCTTTTAAACAGAGGCTGGATGGCCATCTGTCAGGGGTGATTGAATGCAATATTCCTGCTTCTTGGCAGGGGGTTGGACTGGATGGCCCATGAGGTCTCTTCCAACTCTTTGATTCTATGAATTCTATGAATCTATGGATGTTTGATGATGAAGCCTGGAACCAATGACCCCCAGGCAGCTCCCTTCCTCCTCTCCCAGGAATCCTTCTGCTTACCTGAGTCAGTTCCACTCCATCACAAAGCGGAAGATGCGACTGTGGATTCAGCCACAACATCATTCCAGCCCCTGGGAGAGAGAGAGTGTGGAAAGCTGATCACATTAACATGTCCCAGAGGTTACAATTACAGTCCTAAAAAGAAATGACTCCCATCAACACAGGAGCATTCTCCAGCCCAAGAATATGTAAAGTTTTTGAGTTTATGACTTTTTTTTATCTCAAGCAATGTTTTAAGTAGCTTGGATTGAAACTAGTACTGGGCTTGGTATTTCAATTATTCTAAAGTTATTCTTTGTTGTCTGTATTTCTCCCAGATCACTTTCATGGCTCATCTTAGCCCTATGTCCCACCTGAGAAGATACTAAAGGGCTGATATTTCAGTCCCACCCAACAGTATGCAAATGTAGAAGTATAACAATAAAGAAAACTGCAAATCACACTGAAATTACATCTTCTGTAACCAAATGCCTACCTATACACTAATCTCAAGGCCAAATGTGCACAGTCTCAATCTCAAATATATTGTGGATAAAATCCCAAAACTTCCGGAAGGGTTCCTTCTTACCCTCCAAGGTTGTAGCCCAGTCTTCTTCCTGCTTGAGGTCTATCTGCTGGAGACTCTGGGTGGCGTCTGATAGATGTTTCTCTGATTCAGAGGCATCAGGCAGGATATCAATGCAGTTACTTTGGGCCTGGAATTGCAAAGAGTATACGAGAAGTAATAAAGAGAAAGATTAGGAAAGGATTTTTTTTCCAAATGTACAAAAACTGCTTTCAGAGATTGGCCATTTTGCTCCTCCCATCATTTTCAATACAATGTCTAGAGTCAACAATTTTGAGTAGAGCAGTGGTTCTCAACCTTCCTAATGCCGTGACCCCTTAATGCAGTTCACCACGTGTTGGTGACCCCCAACCATAACATTATTTACATTGGTACTTCGTCACTGTAATTTTGTTATGAATCGTAATGTAAATATCTGATATGCAGGATGTATTCTCATTCACTGGACCAAATTTGACACAAATAGCCAATATGCCCAAATTTAAAAACTGGTGGGGTTGGAGGGGGAGTTCATTTTGTCATTTGGGAGTTGTAGTGGCTGGGATTTATAGTTAACCTATAATCAAAGAGCATTCTGAACTCTACCAACAAAAGAATCAAGCCAAATTTGGCACACAGAACTCCCAAGAACAAGAGAGAGTACTGGAAGGGTTTTTGGGCATTGATCTTGAGTTTGGGAGTTGTAGTTCACCTACATCCAGAGAGCACTGTGGACTCAAACAGTGATGGATCTGGACCAAACCTGGCATGAATACTCAATATGCCCAAATGTGAACACTGGTAGAGTTTGGGGAAAATAGACCTTCACATTTGTGAGTTGTAATTGCTGGGATTTATAGTTCACCTATAATCAAATAGCACTCTGAACCTAGCCCAAAATGGATCTGCACCAAACTTGGCACACTACCGACATGGCCAACATTAACTACTGGTGGGGTTGGGGGGGGGGGTTGTTTTTGAATTCTGGGGGTTGTCATTCACCAACACCAACAAGGATGAGGACAGGCAGAGAGATCTTCAGCCTTCTCTGCCAAAACAGTTCCTAAGACCATCAGAAATATGGTCTTAGGAACTGAAACCCCCTCACGCCCCCCCCCCATGGGTCCCAACCCCCAAGTTGAGAAACACTGGAGTAGAGGAACAACCAAGCTTACAGTAGATATGGAGGTGATAGAAGGAGGGGTAGAGCAGGTGGGAAAAGAGGCTGAGGGAGCAGAGTCCAGCTTCTCCCTCACATTGGGACCATCTTGGAAGGAAGGCAGGATGTACGTTTAATCTCTCCATCAGTCCCAAGGTGAGTGAATCCAAGAGGCAATGCTCTCACCTGTCCTTCCCGCTTCTCGTCCTCGGCCCGACTGAGGAGGAAGCCTTCCGCCAGGGCCACCGCCTGGGAAGAGGTCTCTGCCCCACACTCTCGGACCCAGCTCCCCATCTCTGGGGGCAGGATGCTCATGAACTGCTCCAGGATCACCAGGTCCAGCATCTCTGCCTTGGTGTGTTGCTCTGGCTTCAGCCACTGGCGGCAGAGAGAGTGGAGGCGGCTGCAAACCTCTCTGGGTCCCTCGCCCTCTTGGAAGGAGCACTGCCTGAAGCACTCGCGCTCTATGTGTGAACTATAAAATTCCACACTCAGGAACTTATGTGTAGTTTTCCCCCAGGATGCCCCGCTGCTCCCAAGTCCTGCTTCAGGTCCAGGTGAGTTGGGTCTCTCCATGTTGGAACCACTTGTTGATGAAGAAGCAAACTGGATCCAAGATGCTTTTCCTCCTTCTTCTCTCAAGGGAAAGAAATCCTTGAACAGGCTCGACTACAAAATTCTCAGCCAACACTCTTATTTCCTCTGTGAAAGAAAGGCAGAATTAGACAACAGGATTCAAGAGGCTTTTTCTTGGAGATTATAAACCAAGCCCTGTATTTCTTTCAGAGCCAGGTGATACTGGTCCTCTGCTTCTCTAGCCTCCAGACCCACCTGGCCTCCCATTGAGCTCCCATTCAGTCCCAACCCATACTGAATCCCCCTGTGATTCCTTCACCGGATGCTTCATGATCCATAGCCTTTCTTGTAGAGAAGAACCAAGAGACTTTGAAACAAGAGACAAAAATTGATGTAACGACTAAAGTAACATATTTGGAAATCCAGATGACAAACTGAGACTGAATTATTTAAAAACTTATGGGGGGAAAGAGGAGCCAGAGAGGCAGGTGAGTGGGTGGGGAGGGGAAAACCCTGGGCCTCTCTCTCTCTGCCTGCCTCTCCCTCCTCCTAAGGATCTCCAGGTTGGAGAAGTCTGTTGTGAAGACCCACAACCCCAGGTGAGGCCAGGCCTGGGCCCACTCTGGCCCTCCCTCCAGGTGTGTTGGGTTTCTGCCCCTCTTCCGCCCTTTGGAGAAGAAGGTCTGGGAAGAAGACTCACCAGAAGGAGAGGAAGAAGGAGGAGGAAGAAGAGGCCAAAGGCACAGACTTCCCTCTCCCAGCCGGGCAAGGAGGGGTGAAGGGGAGTGAGTTTGGTTTCTAGAGGAACAGGAAAGGCGGGTATGAGGAGGCCCACTTCCTTCCTGCCTTTCTGGGAAGCAAACACCCTCCCCTTAACCCTTCCTTGCCCAGCATTACATTGGACGGAGGGGGAAAGAGCATCCCTCCAAAGCCCTGCAACCAAAGGATGAAAGATGAAGGCAGAGAGAGTCATGGAAGAAACACTCATAGGATAGTTAGATATATTCTCTCCCTGCCAAACCCTTGCTCCCAGGGCTCCCTTTTCCCAAGGAGGAGGAACACAGACTTGGGTGGGAGAGACAGCAAAAGCACCCACCACAAGCAGGCTCTTCCTTGCCCAGGGCCTTGGAGGCATCCCCTGCTGCAAGACCTGCTCCCCAAAGCCACCCTCTGCCAAGGCCGGGGAAGCTTCATTCAGAGTTTGGTTGGAAGGGTGTCACTCATTTCCATGTTTGTCTTGCACATGACTACTGCAAAGAAGTGGCAAATGTACTTAGGTGATCCCTCGTTGTCCGAGTAGGATTGCCTTCCAAGATCGGTGTACTGGCGGTGGGTCCGTAGGTGACTGTGGAGCCCTATTCTTGATCTGCATCTTCTCCCGCAGTGAGGGCATTGGTTTCCAGGTGGAAGGCGGTCCCGTTCAGGGTTGGCACGTTTCTCTATTTCGCTCTCCATTCAGGCCTCTTCAAATTCTGCAGCACTGCTGGTCACAACTAACACCCAGCTGGAGTGCTCAAAAGCCATGGCTTCCCAGTTCTTCGTTTCTATGCCAGAGTTTTTGAGGTTGGCTTTGAGCCCATCTTTAAATCTCTTTTCCTGCCCACCAACAACACTGCTGGTCACAGCTGACCTCCAGCTGGAGCGCTCAAGGGCCAGGGCTTCCCAGTTCTCAGTGTCTATGCCGGAGTTTTTAAGGTTGGCTTTGAGCCCATCTTTCAATCTCTTTTCCTGCCCACCAACATTCCAATTTCCGTTTTTTAGTTCGGAGTAGAGCAACTGTTTTGGGAGACGGTGGTCGGGCATCCGGACAAAATGACCAGTCCAGCGGAATTGATGACAGAGGCCCATCGCTTCAATGCTGGTGGTCTTTGCTTCTTCCAGCACGCTGACATTTGTTCGCTTGTCTTCCCAAAAGATTTGCAGGATTTTCCAGAGGCAGCGCTGATGGAGTTGTTCCAGGAGTTGCATGTGACGTCTGTAGACTGTCCACATCTCACAGGCGTATAGCAGGGTTGGGAGGACAATAGCTTTATAAACAAGCACCTTGGTCTCCCTACGGATGTCCTGGTTCTCAAACACTCTCTGCTTCATTCGGAAAAATGCTGCACTCGCAGAGCTCGTGGTGTTGTATTTCAGTGACAATGTTGACTTTGGTGAAGAGGTGGCTGCCAAGGTAGCAGAAATGGTCGACATTTTCTAATGTTACACCATTCAGCTGTATTTCTGGCATTGGAGAGGGATTGGCTGGTGCCTGCTGGAAGAGCACTTTGGTTTTTTCAATGTTCAATGATAGGCCGAGCTTCTCGTATGCTTCTGCGAAGGTGTTTAGAGTAAATATAGTGGAGTAAGTATATACCCAGCCTATCCCCAGTATAACTGACTGTGGCTCATTGAGGTTCAGGGTGAGAAGGGCAGAATATAAATGTTTCTAATAAATAAATAAGTAAAACAAAATACATTTGGTATGCTTGAGGTTTTGATGGTACACTTGATATCCAACTTTTGCCTTTGCTCCTCAATCCAGTGACCTGGTTTCGGGATGGAAAATATCAATACTGGTCCCAGCACACTGTGAAACACAGAAATAGTGGCGTAATGTAAAATAAACCACATGTATTTCACGCTTGATCAGCCCACAAACTGCCTTGCCAGCGAAAGAAAAAAAATGCCACACAGGTAAACAATAAATTAGGTTTTCTGACTATATTTTAAGTGGCATTGAATCTTGCTGGAGTTGTAAGCCGCCTTGAGTCCCCCTACAGCAGAGGTTCCCAACCTGTGGTCCGTGGAAGAACTAAAATATGGTCTGCGACCTCAGCGTTACTACACCATTGCAACAAGAGCGACTGGTTTCACGAAGGTCTCGCGAAACCATCTTATAGTGTCGAGGCTTACTATATATGATTTTCTGTAGGCGAGCAGATGGTGACTACTGGATGACATATGTTCTGTATCAGAAAGTAGAGCTGATGTGGTCTATCCAATGCAATTTTCTGCCGAAATAACCAAACCAAATCTAAAGTTGACCAAAAACATTTGTAATCTTTTTGGTACTAATGTTGGAGAGTGGTCCCTGGCCAAAGTGGTCCCTAGAATCATAGAATCAAAGAGTTGGAAGAGACCTCATGGGCCATCCAGTCCAACCCCCTGCCAAGAAGCAGGAATATTGCATTCAAATCACCCCTAAGAGATAGCCATCCAGCCTCTGTTTAAAAGCTTCCAAAGAAGGAGCCTCCACCACACTCCGGGGCAGAGAGTTCCACTGCTGAACGGCTCTCACAGTCAAGAAGTTCTTCCTCGTGTTCAGATGAAATCTCCTCTCTTGAAGGTTGAAGCCATTGTTCTGCGTCCTAGTCTCCAAGGAAGCAGAAAAAAAAGCTTGCTCCCTCCTCCCTGTGGCTTCCTCAGACATAATTATACATGGCCATCATATCTCCTCTCAGCCTTCTCTTCTTCAGGCTAAACATGCCCAGCTCCTTGAGCTGCTCCTCATAGGGCTTGTTCTCCAGACCCTTGATCATTTTAGTCGCCCTCCTCTGGACACATTCCAGCTTGTCAATATCTGTCTTGAATTGTGGTGCCCAGAATTGGACACAGTATTCCAGGTGTGGTCTAACCAAAGCGGAATAGAGCATGGGGAGCATGACTTCCTTAGATCTAGACACTATGCTCCTATTGATGCAGGCCAAAATCCCATTGGCTTTTTTTGCCGCCACATCACATTGTTGGCTCATGTTTAACTTGTTGTCCACGAGGACTCCAAGATCTTTTTCACACGTACTGCTCTCGAGCCAGGCCATAAAAACCCTGGTCATAAAAAGGCTGGGAACCACTGCCTTACAGGGATGAGAAATGCGAGGTATAAATGAAGTAAATAATAAGTAAATAAATAAAGGAAGAAAGGAAAGGAAAGGAGGGAGGAAGGAAAATAGAAAAGGAGGGAAGAAAAAAAAGGAAGAGGAAATAAGAAAAGGATTGAGAGAGGAAAAGACCAAAAAAGGAGGATGAGAAGGAAAGAAGGCAGTAAGGGAAGAAAGAAAAGGAAGGGAGAAGTAGGAATGGAAAGAGAGTAGGAAAAAAATGGAAGAGGGAGAGATGATGACATGACAAGAGGATAGACGAGAGAAAGGGAAGAAAGAAAAGGAATTAGAGGGAAGGGTGGGAGAGGGAAGGAAAGAACAAAAAGGAAGGAAAAGACAAAAAGAGCAAAAAAAAAAAAGGTTTAAAAGGACGCCACGGGTGTGGAGGGGATGGGGCAGCCCGGTGGCGCAGAAATGGCTCTGGCGAGACAGCGGACAAAGGCCTCACCAGCGGCAGTAGGCTCTTGAGGGCCTGGGGTGCAGAGGTGATGGGGACGGGCCCCAGGAGCGGAGGAGGCAAAGGCGAAGGCCTCTTGGGGAAGTGCGTACTGCTGCCTCTCCTGTGAACACACGCCTGACTACCCACACTTTACCGTCTAACACAAATGTAATGTGCACTCCACTTAGTCAAAAAGGTGCGCCTTAAATTCGCGTAAATACGGTAATTTCTGTACTGGTAATTATATTTTCTCAAGCAATTGGAAGTGACTAGTTGGAAAGCTGGCATTAATTATACAAACGCTGTTGTTTTTAATCTACAGACAAACTTATTAATTTCAGAAATTTCTATATCGCATTTCTCCCACAGACTCAAGACTGCATTAAAGCACACAATATAAAATAAAACCATTATAAATATCCCAGACTGGAACATAAGTCCTTCTTTGTAGGACATTGAAATAATCAGTTAAAATAGGATAAAACAATCTAAAACTTCTCACATGGAGATCAACACTATAAAGTACTATATATCCCAGGCTTCTGTGCAATGCAATTAAAAGCTATTATTTCCTGTGACAGACTTTGTATTTCTAGGCGCCGTGACAGACTTTGTATTTCTAAGCGCAAAGATTACTGCAGATGCAGACTGCAGATGCAGACGGCCCGGAAGCTTCAGCTAGTCCAGCGCGCGGCAGCCATGTTGTTAACTGGAGCGGGACGCAGGGAGCACACAACGCCCTTGCTGTCCCAGCTCCACTGGCTGCCGATCTGCTACCGGGCCCAATTTAAGGTGCTGGTGCTATCCTACAAAGCCCTAAACGGTTCCGGCCCAAAATACCTTGCAACCGCATCTCGGCCTACGAGCCCACGAGGACCTTGAGATCATCTGGGGAGGCCCTTCTCTCGGTCCCGCCTGCCTCACAGGCACGCCTGGCGGGGACGAGAGAGCGAGCCTTCTCGGTGGTGGCCCCCCGGCTATGGAACTCCCTCCCTGCTGAAATCAGACAGGCACCTTCCCTCATGGCCTTTCGCAAGGGCCTGAAAACTTGGCTCTTCGAAAAGGCCTTTAGCTAGTGCTATGTTTCCTTGGAATGATCACCGGAATGGACTATGATGATGAGATTGACTATGACCCTAATCTAGACGAAGCGGATTTTTATATGTGTGTGATTGTCTTGTTCTATTGTAAATTGTTGTTTTTTCTATGTTTTGTACACCGCCACGAGTCGCCTCCGGGCTGAGAGTGGCGGTTAACAAGTGCAAGTAATAATAATAATAATAATAAATAATAATAGTTAAAGATGGCACAAAGATGGTATATTGATGAGATATTGGAAAAATAGATATTTATTGATTTATACATAAAATTGTATATATTTTACAACACTGAAATGCATAGAAAAATCTCTCTCTCTCTCTCTCTCTCTCTGTAAGAAACCCGAGCTGGCAAAACAAGCAGGCTACCTCCAAGGCATGGCAGGAGGGAGGAGAAGGGGGGCACGCATGTTATCTCTACATTCCAAGAGATAAGCCCGTCCTAGCTGGTACGACTAGGCCCAGTGCCTTCCTTCTAAGGATAGAGCCAATGCTCTTGACATCTCAGAGCAGGCCTCTTGATTGATGACTGCAAAAATGCCTACTCTTCAGCTAGACACAGAGACATGCTTTTTGCATGTAGAAGTTAGAACCTGATATTCTTATGATGCTCAGATGACGTAGGGATGACAATATTGTATGAAGATGTATGTACTAGCATGTTCTTTGTTTGACTCCGATTGGAAGCTATAAAAGGCAGTCCGCACCTTGATCGGGGCTGGTGTAATTAGAGATGACTCCACACCAGGCTCCAGCTGGAATAAATCCGTGCTTTAAAGTCTCCAGACCTCTCTCTGTGTCTCCTTTCATCAAACCTTTCCCTGCCACTTCATATGACACCGTATAAATTAGACAAATGTTATAGTAATGTTAACACAAATTGTTGGAAATGTAGAAAGAAGGAAGGCACCCTGTATCACATGTGGTGGACATGTGAAAAAGCCAAGTCTTATTGGAAAAGAATACACGAGATAATGCAGAAAATGCTAGGCATAAATATACAACTAAAACCGGAATTATTTCCGTTGGGAATGATAACACCAAAAATGGAAAAAAAATACCGACAAACTACTATTTTTGCTAACAGCGGCGAGGATGTGCCACACAAAACTATGGAAGAAAGAAGAAATACCAGATACAGAAGATTGGCTACAAAAAGTGTATGACATTAGAAATATGGACTGGCTTACATTCTTCTTATCCAGAAACAAGGACAATCCTATGCAAGAGACAAACTGGGAGAAAATTACTGATTATTTAAAACAGATAAAACATAGAACAATCATCTAAATAAGAGAAGACAACCCTAGAAAGAAGGAAAGAGAGAAGTATATGGAAAGAAAAACAACGTAGGACAGAAGACAAAGAAAAGGACAACACTTCCACCAAGATACTCAGGAAGTCACGAAGATCTTCAATTTTTTATTTTTTAATCTCTTGTTTTCTACCCTCTGTCACACATTTTTCTCTCTCTTTCTTCTACCGCTCTTTCCTACACGTGCACTCTATTTTTCGGCCTTTCCCCTCACCAGTCTTTTTCTTTTAACTATGTCACAGAAAATTCAATAAAAAATATTTTTAAAAAAAGATATGAGTCCAAAGTCAAGCCAGGTGGTACCGGAAGCCAAGGGAATGACTCGCATTCATCAGGAAATGTTGAATGTATAGTCTATACCACAATGTCCAGAACGTGCAATTTCTCTGTTGCAAATAATTTTATTAGTTTTCTCCCTGCTCTTTGGATGATGTCTCTCTTGTATGTAGTCTGTAATAGTTCAAAAGGTATGAACCCCCCAAAAAAATCATTTCCCATATGGCTAACATTTCTATATATTTTAGACTATGTGTGTTCTCTGGTGCTTGTTAAAGGATGAAATCACCGAGTGAAACATTTCCCATACTTCTGGCACTTTAACTCTTTCTTTCCTTTGTGTAGTTTTTTTGTGGTTCTCCAAGAATGAACTGCAAACAAAACATTTCACACACTCCTGGCATATCTATGACTTCTGTCCTGTGTGAAGTCCTTTGTGCCTCAATAAGTTTGACCTGCAAGTAAAACATTCTCCACACCTTGGCATTGGTATGGCTTCTCTCCAGTATGGCGTCTTTTATGGCTCACCAAATGTGAACTGTATGCAAAACATTTCCCACACTCAAGGCATTGGTATGGCTTCTCTCCTGTGTGCAGTCTTTTGTGACTCGCCAACGCTGAACTGTCAGCAAAACATTTCCCACACTCAAGGCATTGGTATGGCTTCTCTCCTGTGTGGACTCTTTTGTGGCTCACCAAGGATGAATTCACAGCAAAACATTTCCCACACTCCTGGCATTGGTATGGCTTCTCTCCTGTGTGGAGTCTTTTGTGCCTCACCAAGGCTGAACTGTCAGCAAAACATTTCCCACACTCCTGGCATTGGTATGGCTTCTCTCCTGTGTGGACTCTTTTGTGCCTCACCAAGCCTGAAGTGTGAGCAAAACATTTCCCACATTCCTCGCATTGGTATGGCTTCTCTCCTGTGTGGAGTCTTTTGTGCGTCACCAAGTGTGAACTATATGCAAAATATTTCCCGCAGTCCTGGCATTGGTATGGTTCCTGTCCTGTGGGAAATCTCTCATGTTTCACCAAGCTTATGAAATCCTCGGTTCCCTCAAAGATTTCTTTTTGGCACAGATCTGGCAATGTGTAATCAACCACACCTTTTGCTGATACTTTCCATTGAAAAAAACCGTTCCCGGCATGGAGTGTCTTGTGAAGCACAAGTGCCACATTTTGGGTAAAACACTGCCCACATTCATTGCATTTGTAGGGCCTTTCTCCGGCAGAATCTTCATCTTCGCTCTGGGCTTGCTGGTGTCTACAAAGGCCCCCGTTGTGCCCAAAATGCTTCCTGCATTTGGTGCATACATTGCTCCTCTCCCAGTTATCTACTGTGAAGAAGAAGAAAAGAAAAAATAATTCCTAAGCATGATTGATAAAGACTCTAAGTGGGATAAGAAGTGGATTGAAAATATCCTTAAAACAACAGAGACATGGAGGAAAAGAAGATATAAATGTGTCACTTCTCCACCCCTTGTTCAATAAAGATGAACACTTGTTTGACTGCCGAGAACCGACGATTCGACGGATGAGACTGTTGTATTGTTTTAATGATTGTTTTATTGCTCATGAATGTGTTTTTAAATTTAATTTATGTAGTGTATAATTGTAATTGTTAGTACTAGCATTGAATTTTTGCCATTACTTATGTGTAAACCGCTTTGATTCCCCCTCGGGGTGAGAAAAGCGGTATACAAATACTGTAAATAAATAAACCTCTTAGGCGAGGTAAAAGAAGTCCAATCCATTCTAGGGGTCAAACTGGGGGGAAATAAGTTAAAATACTTAGGGGTATATATACCTAAAAATTTAAATAATATAATTCAGATAAATAATAACCAACTATGGAAGAAAATAAGCAAACAAATCAACAATTGGAAAAAATGGAATTGGGATATAACAACAAGAGTGAAGACATATAAAATGATGATACTGCCCAAATGTTTGTACTTATTTTAATGCCTCCCATGTAGCATTCTACCCAAAATAATAAAGAAATGGGATAACTCAAGTAAAACATGGGTAGTAGGTTCTAGTAAAACCAGAATTGCAAATTCAATATTTTTTACTCCACAAGAAAATGGAGGCTGGGGAGCACCTTGCCTCCAGAATTACTATGAAGACTGTCAACTGGCTAAGTTACTAGAATTAGATATTGGAGAGCCCAAAAGATGGGTTAGAATAGAGAAATTTACAAACGGGTGGGAATATGGATCTTGCATTATGGGGGAAATTGGGGGAAAAGAACTAAAAAACATAAAAGGAGGCCCCTTGTTATCAACAATGACCTGTTGGGGAAAATGGCAAAACAAACTCCCACTAAATAAAATAGACGAGCTCCCAATAAGTTCCATAGACAGCAGAAAACCCCAGCCATATCGCAATATGCTAAAGAAACTGGAATAGAACGGAATAACAAAGATTGAGAACTTACTAAAACCAGATGGGACTGTAATTCAGTGGGAGGAAATCTATATAAATAAAAATGTAATGTTCGCTTGTGGTATTCACAGAACTCTAAAACCACTGGCCGAATTGCCGCCAAGTTTGGACACAAAACACCTACTAACCCAAGGAGTGACCATCACTAAAAAAAAATTGATTTTGTCATTTGGGAGTTGTAGTTGCTGGGATTTGTAGTTGACCTACAATCAAAGGGCATTCTGAACTCCACCAACAATGGAATTGAACCAAACTTGGCACACAGGACTCCCATGACCAACAGAAAACACTAGAAGGATTTGGTGGGCATTGACCTTGAGTTTGGGAGTTGTAGTTCACCTACATCCAGAGAGCATTGTGGACTCAAACAATGATGGATCTGGACCAAACATGGCATGAATATTCCATATACCCAAATATGAACACAGATGAAGTTTGGGGGAAATAGACCTTGACATTTGGAGTTGTAGTTACTGGGATTTATAGTTCACCTACAATCAAAGAGTATGCTGAACCCCACCAACGACAGAATTGGTGCAAACTTTCCACACAGAACGCCCATGACGAACGGAAAATACTTAAGGCCATCCAGTCCAACTTCACCAGGGCATGAAAATGTCATCAAAGCCATCCTGATAAAGAGCCATCCAGCCATAGATATAAATATATATGATTCACATATGCACAGATATAGATTTGAAAGGGACCCCTAAAGAAGGACAATTCTATGTGGCATGTTCCAGAGCAGGTGAATCAGACAACCTCCACATCAACACTGACAAAGAAACAGCAAGAAATACTGTTTACCCACAAGCAGGAAGACATTACATGTATTAGAAACCAATACTTTCTCATTACTTTATTTTCGAGATCACCAGACTGGGTCACAGCAACACGTGGCAGGGGACGGCTAGTAAAAGATAAATGTGGGCTTGGAAATTGGTTACAATGGGGAGGGCTGTCTAAAAAGCTAACAGAATGAAGACTAAGGAAACCTCAGAAACAAATTTCGACAAAATAATAACATGGAAAGTTGAGAAGGAGAAAGGAATCATGGGATTTATATATAAAATAATCACAAAATCTACCCTAATAGGAGTCTGGAAGGAGGAATTAAGTTGCAGTGAGAGAGAAATAGACAATTGGATGAATTCAATCAATAAAATAAAATACTTAAAGATCAAAGAAATGCAATGGAAAAAACTGGCAAAATGGTACAGAACTCCCGTGCAACTGGCGCATATCATGAAAACATGTCCAAAATTATGTTGGCACAACTGCGGAAAAATAGGAACATACGCCCACATGTGATGGGAATGCGAAAAAAACCAAAAGTTCCAAGAAATAATCAGGAAGGAAATGGAGGAGCTATTAGGGATAAATATAGAATGGAACAAGACCCAATTTTTCACCCAGAAATTGGAAAGTAAAGGGGAATATAAAGAAAATGAGGAAATAATTAATCACATGATAGAGGCAATCAAAGCCTCAGTGGCCCTAGGCTGGAAGGACCACAAGAAATGGGATATAAAAACTTGGTATAAATATCTAGCCGAGTACCTTCTCCAAGATTATATTAACGAAAGAAAAAGTTACTATATGACGGGTCAACGCAGAAGGACATGGGAAGCAAAATGGGTCTCATATACAGAATAAAGGGGAAAGATAAATATACGGTGTTAAATAAGACTATTCTCATGATTGAACAATTGTAATAAACACAGCAAATGTACTTAACTGTTCCTGGGCAAGGGGGGGGGGGTTGTGGTGGTGGTGGGATTGGGGAAAATACTGGTATTTTGAATGCAAATTTCAAAGATGGTATGTTTCTATGTATTATACAATAAAAAAACTTTAAAAAAATAAACCTCTAAGGCAGAGATGAGCAGGCATGGGCAAATCTTTTTGTCTTCGGCCCGTATTGTGGGCCCGGCCAGGAGGGAGGGCGGCTGCGCACATGCTGAATAGGACAGGCTTTTAAATTGTTTATTTTAAAATGTTTTTATTTTTATTGATTGTTTCATTTGATTTATATATGCGTTCGGACTGAGGTTTGTATGATATTAATATGCTGAGGAGAAAAGTAGGATATAAATAAAGACATTATTATTATTACTCTTATGTTATATATTTCTAACATATGTGACTGTGATGATTTAGGACAATACTGCATTTCGAAACGGAAATCCCCACCAATGAGGGAGCCTTACCAAGAGAGTCCACCATCCCATGAATCTCCTCCATGATCTGCCCGTGCAAGGCTTTCTGATCAGGACTCAGGAGAGCCCACTCCTCCAAAGAGAAATGGACAGCCATGTCCTCAAAGGCGATTGGGTCCTGGGTGGAAAAAGGAAACATTTCCTTCTCACATCAGGGCCATCAAGGAAAATAATTACAAGAAAACCTTTAAGGTAGATTCACATTCCTGCTGGTTGATGAAAGGAAGAGATATGTTGCGAAAAGGCTGGCTCTTATTATGTGTCCATTGAATTCACTATTCACCCTGTCCTTTTCATCCCATAGGTAAGGTATGCCATCCATATCTTAAATTTTGGGCCCTTAATGTAAGGAACTCCTTATTATCCAATTTAATCCAATCCTTATTGTTGTTGTTTTTTCATTCAGTCACATCCGACTCTTTGTGACCTCCTGGACCAGCCCACACCAGAGCTCCCTGTCGGCCGTGGCCACCCCCAGCTCCTTCAAGGTCAAGCCAGTCACTTCAAGGATGCCATCCATCTTGCCCTTGGTCGCCCCCTCTTCCTTTTTCCTTCCATTTTCCCCAGCATCATTGTCTTCTCTAAACTTTCCTTTTCATTATGTGGCAAAAGTACTTCATCTTTGCCTCTAATATCCTTCCCTCAACTAATATTAGCTGCTTCATAGTAGTATCTGATGTCTGATAAATCCAGTCCCCCTCTGTCTTTCCCATCAATCAGGTTCCTGTAAGCCAGCGGTTTTCAACCTGTGAGTCCCCAGATATTTTGGCCTTCAACTCCCAGAAATCCTAACAGCTGGTAAACCGAGTGGGATTGCTGGGAATTGTAGGCCTGGGGACACCTGGGGACAGGTTACCAACCACTGCTGTAAGCCATTCTGGATTTTTTGCCTTTCCAAATGGAGATGACCACATCTCCATTTTCCCAACACCTTTACTACCTTAATAATCAGTAAATTTTGAAACAGAAACAACATTTTGGGTAATACCATCGTTTTTGTAACTGCTATCCTCCCTAAACAGGTAAGTTGAAGTCTTTGCCCATTTTCAAGATCTCCTTTGATCTTCTTCCATGTTTTGACATAATTATTTAGGTAAAGTTTACTATTTAGTCCAGTCTGTTTGAAGCCATTGTTCCGCGTCCTGGAGACTAGGACGCGGAACAATGGCTTCAAACTACAAGAGAGGAGATTCCATCTGAACATGAGGAGGAACTTCCTGACTGTGAGAGCCGTTCAGCAGTGGAACTCTCTGCCACGGAGTGTGGTGGAGGCTCCTTCTTTGGAGGCTTTTAAGCAGAGGCTGGATGGCCATCTGTCAGGGGTGATTTGAATGCAATATTCCTGCTTCTTGGCAGGGGGTTGGACTGGATGGCCCATGAGGTCTCTTCCAACTCTTTGATTCTATGATTCTATGATTTTTGTTAGTCATATTCTGAGATATTTTACTTGACCCTTTGTCTTGAATAAATAGCTCCTCTGGCCTTTCTAAAGTGTTGCCCCGCTCTAAAATAGTCCAGTCTGTTTCAAGAGATGTTTGACGATAAATCCTGGAAGAAATGACCCCCAGGCAGCTCCCTTCCTCCTCTCCCAGGAATCCTTCTGCTTACCTGATTCACTTCCACTCCATCACAAAGGGGCAGAACCGACTGAGGATTCGGTAACAACATCATTTCAGCCCCTAAGAGAGAGAGTCAAGGTGTGGAAAGCTGATCATGTTAACATGTCCCAGAGGTTACAATTACGGTCCTAAAAAGAAATGGCCCTATCAACACAGGAGCATTTCCAGCCCAAGAATATGTAAAGTTTGTGAGTTTATGACTTTTTTATCTTAAGCAGTGTTTTAAGTAGCTTGGATTAAAACTACTACTGGGCTTGGTATTTCAATTATTCTAAAGTTATTCTTTGTTGTCACTTTCATGGCTCATCTTAGCTCCATGTCCCACCTGAGAAGATACCGAAGGGCTGATATTTCAGTCCCACCCAACAGTATGCAAATGTAGAAGTAAAGAAAACTGCAAATCACACTGAAATTACATCTTTTGCAACCAAATCCCTACTTAAACAAGACCAAATGTGCACAGTCTCAATCTCAAATATATTGTGGGTGTGCTACAATCACCCCAAAAGGGAACTGACACTAGCATAAAACCCCAAAACTCCCGGAAGGGTTCCTTCTTACCCTCCAAGGCTGTAGCCCAATCTTCTTCCTGCTTGAGGTCCTTCTGCTGGAGTCTCTGGGTGGCGTCTGATAGATGTTTCTCTGATTCAGAGACATCAGGTTGGACTTTAATGCAGTTACTTTGGACCTGGAATTGCAAAGATTATACAAGAAGTAGTAAGGAGAAAGATTAGAAAAGATTTTTTTTTCCAAATGTACAAAAACTGCTTTCTGAGATTGGCCATTTTGCTCCTCCCATCATTTTCCATACAATGAGTCAACAATTTTGAGTAGAGGAGCAACCAAGCTTACACTAGATTTGGAGGTGAGAGCAGGAGGGGCAGAGCAGGTGGGAAAAGAGGCCGAGGGAGCAGAGTACAGCTTCTCCCCCACATCGGTCCCATCTTGAAAGGAAGGCAGGATATACGTTTAATCTATCCATCAGTGGCAAGGGTTTTTTTTGTTTTGTCGTGTCAGGAGCAACTTGAGAAACTGCAAGTCACTTCTGGTGTGAGAGAATTGTCCGTCTGCAAGGACGTTGCCCAGGGGACACCCGCATGATTTGATGTTTTTATCATCCTTATGGGAGGCTTCTCTCATGTCCCCACTTGAGGAGCTGGAGCTGATAGAGAGAGCTCATCCGCCTCTACCCGGATTCAAACCTGTTACCTGTTGGTCTTCGGTCCTGCCGGCACAGGGGTTTAACCCACTGTGCCACCGGGGGCTCCACAGTGGCAAGGTGAGTGAAGCCACGAGGCAATGCTCTCACCTGTCCTTGCTGCTTCTCGTCCTCTGCCCGACTCAGGAGGAAGCCTTCCGCCAGGGCCACTGCCTGGGAAGAGGTCTCTGCCCCACACTCTCGGACCCAGCTCCCCATCTCTGGGGGCAGGATGCTCAGGAACTGCTCCAGGATCACCAGGTCCAGCATCTCCGCCTTGGTGTGTTGCTCTGGCTTCAGCCACTGGCGGCAGAGAGAGTGGAGGCGGCTGCAAACCTCTCTGGGTCCCTCACCCTCTCGGAAGGAGGAATGCCTGAAGCGCTGGCGTTTTGTGTCTGAGCTATATAGGTCCACATTCTGGAACTTGTGTGTTGTTTTTTTCCAGGATGCCTCATTGCTCCCAAGTTGTGCTTCAGGTCCAGGTGAGTTGGGTCTCTCCATGCTGGAACCACTCAAACTGGATCCAAGATGCTCTTCCTCTCTCTTCTCACAAGGGAAAGAAATCCCTGAACAGGTTCTAGTCCAGAATTCTCAGCCAACAATCACATTTCCTCTGGGAAAGAAAGGCAGAATTAGATAACAGGCTTCGGGAGGCTTGTTCTTGGAGAGTAAAAACAAGCCCTTTATTAATTTCAGAGCCAGGCAATGCTGGGCCCTCCTTCCACTTGGGCCTCTGCTTCTCCACCCTCCAGGCCCACCTGGCCTTCCATTTATTTTATTATTTATTTATTTACAGTATTTATATTCCGCCCTTCTCACCCCGCAGGGGACTCAGGGCAGATTGCAGTATACACATATATGGCAAACATTCAATGCCAGTTTGACAGACAACATATACAGACAATACACAGAGGCTATTTAACTTTTTTCTGGCCGCCAGGGGGGCTGCTGCTTTCATCGTCCATCAGCGACACCGATGAAGTTCCTCCTCATTCCACATTCCCCGGAGTTTTCTTTATGGCCTCATAAATTAGTTAAATTTAGCCTCCCACACAAGGTGGTACCTTATTTTCCTACTTGACAGATGCAACTGTCTTTTGGGTTGCAAAGGTCGACAACAGGCTACACACAATTGGTTGGAAACCCACTCCAGCCCGGGCTGGCTTCGAACTCATAACCTTTTGGTCAGAGTGATCTTAATGCAGCTGACACTCAGCCAGCTGCGCCACAATCCCGGCGCCACAATCCTATTGAGCTCCCATTCAGTCCCAACCCACACTGGATCCCGCCCGTGATTCCTTCAGCTGATGCCTCGTGATCCATGACATTCCTTGCAAAGAAGAACCAAGAGACTTTGAAACAAGAGACAAAAAGTGATGTAACGACTAAAGTAACATATTTGGAGAGGGGGGGGGGGAGAGGAGCCAGAGAGGCAGGGGAGTGGGTGGGGAGGGGAAAGCCCTGGGCCTCTCTCTGCCTGGCTCCCTCTCCTCCTAAGGATTGGAGAAGTGGCCACCTCGCAGTCTGTTGTGAAGACCCAAACCCCATGTGAGGCCAGGCCTGGGCCCACTCTGGCCCTCCCTCCAGGTGTGTTGGGCTTCAGCCCCTCTTCAGCCCTTTGGAGAAGGCTGGGAAGGAGACTCACTGGAAGGAGAAGAGAGAGGAAGAGGGGACAAACTCTTCTCTTCTCTCCCAGCCAGGCAAGGAAGAGTGAAGGGGAGTGAGTGTGGTTCCTAGAGGGACAAGAAAGGGACAAGGAGGCCCACTTCCTTCCTGCCTCTCTAGGAACCACACTCCCTCCCTTAACCCTTCCTTACCCAGTGTTACTCTGGAAAGAGGAGAAAGAGCATCTCTCCAAAGCCCTGGAACCAAAGTGAAGGCAGAGATCAGCATTTCTCAACCTGGGGGTTGGTGAACCCTCACGAGGAGGTGTCAGAAGGGTCACCAAAGACCATCAGAAAGCACAGTATTTTCTGTTGGCCATGGGGGTTTTGTGTGGGAGGTTTGGCCCACTTCTATCATTGGTGGGGTTCAGAATGCGCTTTGATTGCAATGGCTGTTCTCCAAAGCCGGCCTCTGCCAAGGCCCGGGAATCTTCACCCAGAGTTTGGCTAGAAGGGCAGCACAGATTTTCACATTTCACCCTTGCAAATGACTACTAAAAAGGAGTGGCAGATATAGTGGAGCGAGTAGATACCCCAGCCTATCCCCAGTACTAGAGAAGACAATGATGCTGGGGAAAGTGGAAGTAAAAGGATGAGGGGCCGACCAAGGGCAAGATGGATGGATGGCATCCTTGAAGTGACTGGACTGACCTTGAAGGAGCTGGGGGTGGTTAATCTCTGTGTTGAGATTAACTTCACAATTCAGCAGCAGATCAGTTGCACAACTTCAGCGCTTTCCAGTAGCTTCTTTCTGCACAGTATTCTCAGTCAACTGCTCCCACAGCCTGCAGTCACTCTCGAACCTTTTACAGACACTTGAGCACATGCCCGGCCATTGTCAGTTTTACCATTGTCTTTTCCCCAGTCTAGATGATAATACAAACTTACCACAGCACACAGTTATATCTTGTCTTAGCAGACAGGTTCTTTTAATTACATATAGCCTTCAACGAACAACATCACAGCACAAGGAGAAATATACACTGTACATGACTTCCTTCTGACCTTGAAGGAGCTGGGGGTGGTGACGGCCGACAGGGAGCTCTGGCGTGGGCTGGTCCATGAGGTCACGAAGAGTCGGAGACGACTGAACGAATGAGCAACAACATTCCCAATACAACTGACAGTGACTCATTGAGGTGCAGATTTTCATCCGCCTTGTTTGAATGAGAACTAAAAACCAGCATGGTGTTTTGAGATGCTTTAAAACAACTGACTTTTAAAGTAGATGTAACTGTTTGTAGTCTGTGTGTAAATTTATAGTTATTTTTCCGGTATGGAATGCGTACTGTATATATGTTGTGCTCCACCCTGAGCCCCCTTCGGGATGAGAAGAGCAGAACATAAATGTTTCTAATAAATAAATAAAACAAAAATTAAGCCCGAAATACATTTGGTACGCTTGAGGTTTTGATGGCACAGTTGATATCCGAGTTATGCCTTTGCTCCTCAATCCATTGGCCATGGTTGGGGATGGAAGATAGCAATACCGGTTCCTGCACACTGTGAAACACAGAAATAGTGGCGTAATGTAAAATAAACCATGTGTAGTTCACGTTTGATCAGTCCACACACTGCCTTGCCAGTGAAAGAAAAAATGCCACATGGGTGAACAATAAATTAGGTTTTCTGACTATATTTTTAAGTGGCATTGAATCTTGCTGAAGTTGTAAGCCGCCTTGAGTCCCCCTACAGCAGACGTTCCCAACTTGTAGTCCGTGGAAGAACTAAAATATGGTATGCGACCTCACCGTTACTACACCATTGCAACAAGAGCGACTGATCTCACGAAACCCCAAAAACCCATCCTTTTTGGGCTCCTCTCAATTACAATTTTTCTATTCTATTTTGTATGTATTTTATACTGATGTATTTTTGTTGTCTGCATTTTGTTTTTTATTTTTGCTGTATTGTACCTTTGTGCTTGGCCTCATGTTAGCCGCCCTGAGTCCCTTTTGGGGAGATGGTGGCGGGGTATAAATAAAGTTGATTATTATTATTATTATTATTATTATTATTTGTATTTATAGCCCGCTTTATCTCTCCTGAAGGAAACTATATAAACTATATTTATAGTTTAAATATAGTTTTCTGTGGGTGAGCAGATGGTGACTACTGGATGGCATATGTTCTGAATCAGAAAGTAGAGCTAAATAAAGGAAAAGAGAAGGAAATGAAAGGAGGGAGGGAAAGATGGGAAGAAAGAAAAGGATAAAAGAGGGAAGGAGGAAAGGAAGGAAAAGAAGAAAGGAAAAGGAAGAAAAAAGGATGAGAGAGGATGAGAAGGAAAGAAGGCAGTGAGGGAAGAAAGAAAAGGAAGAGAGAAGTAGGAATGGAAAGAAGATAGGAAAGAAAATGGAAGAGAGAGATGATGACATGACAAGAGGATAGACGAGAGAAAGGGAAGAAAGAAAAGGAAGAGAGGGAATGGTGGAAGGGAGAGAGAAGGAAGAAAATAAAAGAATGGAAGGAAAACATGGAAAGGACAGAAAAAAAGATTTAAAGGGGCGCCACGGATGTGGGGAGGGGGATAGTGCAGCCCAGTGGCGAGGCAGCGGATGAAAGCATCGCCAGTGGCAGTAGGCTCTTGAGGGCCCAGAGAGCAGAGGTGATGGGGACGGGCCCCAGGAGCGGAGGAGGCAAAGGCAAAGTCCTCTTGGGGAAGTGCATACTGCTACCTCTCCTGTCAACACATGCCCGCCTACCCACACTTTACCATTTTACACGATGTAATGCGCACCCCATTTAGTCAAAAAAGGGTGTGCCTTAGATTCACGTAAATACGGTAATTATATTTTCTCAAGCAATTGGAAATGATTAGTTGGGAAGCTGGTGTTAATTATACAAACACTGTTGTTTTCTTAGTCTACAGACAAACTTATTTATTTGGGAAATTTCTATATCGCCTTTCTCTAACAGACTCAAGGCGGTTTACAGCACCATTAAAGTACACAATATAAAATAAAACCATTATAAATCTCCCAGACTGGAACATAAGTCCTTCTTTGTAGGACATTAAAATAATCAGTTAAAATAGAATAGAACAATCTAAAACTTCTCATATGGAGATCAACACTATAAAGTACTATATATCCCAGGCTTCTTTGCAAAAGCTATTATTTCCTTAATATTTATTTATTTCAAACATTTGTACCTCGCCCTTCTCAACCCCCGGGGTTCCTCGAACTTAAATTTTGCAAAATAGATCAAATTCCCAAATTATAATAAAATCAATAATATATAACATTGGTGATTTTAAAATAACGACAAGGCTGGTGTTTTTCAGTTTAATGTGGATGAAAAGCATGTTCTCCAGAAGCAGGGAAACTGCTAGTAAATGCTAGCCAGAGATATAATTTGCACAACAGGGGAAATAATAGTGCAAGCATCTTTTCTTTTGGCTTGGACTCAAAAGAAGCACTGTGTTCAATTCTGGAATCCCGGCTGAAAAACAACATACACAAATTGGAAATGTGCAACCAAGGTGGTAAAGGAGCTGGAAACAAAGCCCATGAGAACACGTGATGGAATTACATATGGTGTCTTTTTAAAATAAGTGACATGACAATTGCATTTAACCCTCTGAAAGATTGTCACAGGGAGCTTGCTTTCTGCTGCTCCAGACAACAGGACCTTCAACTTAGGGATTCAAATAACAAGAAAGAGGAATCTACCAAATCTTATGATACAGGTGTCCAGAGAAGCCAAAAGGTTGTCCACTCCCAAGTCAAAACAAGCAAGAAAACTGAACAGAGCTCGAAACTAAGAATTGTCTAAGATATGAGTCCAGAATCAAGCCAAGTGGTACCTGAAGCCAAGGGAACATACGTGTTCATCAGGAAATTTCAAATGTATAGTCTATACCACAATGTCCAGAACATGCAATTTCTCTGTTGCAACTCATTTTATTAGTTTTGTCCCAGCTCTTTGGATGATATATCTCCTGTATGCAGTCTGTGATAGTTCAACAGGTATGAACCCCCCCAAAAAATCATTTCCCACACGTCTAGCATGTTTTTTATCTTATGTGTGTTCTCTGGTACTTGTTAAGGGATGAAGTCACTGAGTAAAACATTTCCCATACTTCTGGCACTTTTACTCTTTCTTTCCTTTCCTTTTTTTTTTTTTTTTTTGGTGTTTCTCCAAGCGTGAACTGCAAACAAAACATTTCACACACTCCTGGCATATCTATGACTTCTGTCCTGTGTGAAGTCTTTTGTGTCTCACCAAGTTGAACTGTCAGCAAAACATTTCCCACACTCCTGGCATTGGTATGGCTTCTCTCCTGTGTGGAGTCTTTTGTGCCTCACCAAGTGTGAGGGCAAAACATTTCCCACACTCCTGGCATTGGTATGGCTTCTCTCCTGTGTGGAGTCTTTTGTGCTTCACCAAGTTTGAACTCTGAGCAAAACATTTCCCACACTCCTGGCATTGGTATGGCTTCTCTCCTGTGTGGACTCTTTTGTGACTCGCCAAGTGTGAACTGTCAGAAAAACATTTTCCACACTCTTGGCATTGGTATGGCTTCTCTCCTGTGTGGAGTCTTTTGTGCCTCACAAAGTGTGAACCATCAGCAAAACATTTCCCACACTCTTGGCATTGGTATGGCTTCTCTCCTGTGTGGAATCTTTTGTGTGTCACCAAGTGTGAACTCTCAGCAAAACACTTCCCACTCCTGGCATTGGTATGGCTTCTCTCCTGTGTGGAGTCTTTTGTGCCTCACCAAGGTTGAACTGTGAGCAAAACATTTCCCACACTCCTGGCATTGGTATGGCTTCTCTCCTGTGTGGAGTCTTTTGTGCTTCACCAAGTCTGCACTGAGAGCAAAACATTTCCCACACTCCTGGCATTGGTATGGCTTCTCTCCAGAGTGGAGTCTTTTGTGCCTCACCAAGTGTGAACCGTGTGCAAAACATTTCCCACACTCCTGGCATTGGTATGGCTTCTCTCCTMTGTGAAGTCTTTTGTGGATAATCAATTGTGAACTGTAAGCAAAACACTTCCCACACTCCTGGCATTGGTATGGCTTCTCTCCTGTGTGGAGTCTTTTGTGACTCACCAAGTGTG